TTCAATCATTGCTTTGGTAAGTACTTTTCCAAATATGAAGCTTCGCAAAACAAATCAGAAGCTTTCTACTTGGGCCCAAATCGCATCAAGCATTGACTCGTTTCCGGCTATGCCAAGCCCTGCTAGGGTAATCACTAGAGAATTTAAATACAATTCAAACCCTGAAGCTAAACACATACATTTGCCTTCCTCTTCTTTCCCTAGCTCTATCGAAGGCTAATAAGATGTTGAAATCCTATAATCCATTGAAGTATGATCATTTATCTGTATCGGATTCTGAAACTGAATCAGATAATTCAAAAGATTTCTTTTCACTGCGATGCAAAAAGAAAAGTAATAAAGGAAAAAACATCAAAATAGAATGCAAGAGAAAGAAAAAGGTAAAAATTACCTTCTTCAATGGTGGAAGCAGTCATCAAAACAAGGGAGATACGGAGGCAATATTAAAGGAAAAACCAGGTTAGTTTCAATGAACATTCATTCCTGATGTCATATCATAAGCTAATTAATTACTCCTTTTTTCAAGCTTTGGAAATTGTTAATTTTTTATATAGAAAAAAAAAAAGTTAGCACTTAGCTCTTAGCTATTGCAGGTATTTGCTTCATCCAACTTATAATTATAGATTTTCTTGGTTGATTTCAGTATAGATTAAAAATTAATTGAAACTCATGCCATAACCCCCAAGAGTAGAAATTAAACTACAACATATATAGATTTTTTTTTATTAGGAAAAAACTAAAAAGTCTTTTTTTATCTTTTGTTTCTTTTTTCTTTTTTTTTTTTTTAATTCAGATGATGATGAATTGGTGAAAAAAGCAGAGAAGTATCAAGAATACATGAAGCAGCTTCCAATTCCATCACCCTGTAATGATCATTCCATTCGATTCAGGACATGGCAAAAGATGGCGGAATTCGTTAAGAAAAAGTATGAGCAACCGCTGCATTACCTCACTAACATTCAATTAAAACAATGGGATGAATCTACCGGAGATGAAAACAGGCCAATCGCCGGCAACATTATTCATCCTAGCAAAGCTGAGGCCATCATCTGGGGTGTTGAGGAGTTCAACAGGAAATGTTCATCTCATCTCTACCTTGCTAAGCTATGGCATTCGGACCCAAAGTACCGTGATTTTGTTGACTTGGTCAATTCATAGATTTGAATTTTATCATTATTTCCTTAATTTTGTGGGTTGGACATATATATATTTTGGATGTTTTAATTTGGGTTTGATGGCAAATTTCATTGAGGAAAATTTTCTTGTTTGTAATAGAATTAGTATTAGTTCTTGAATATGATTGGCAAATCTATTGTTCCTTTTTTTTTTAATCAATTAGTCGACAGTTTGATACTAATTCATATCTAAACTATACTAGTAATTCACTCAATTTTAGTTTGATGTTTTATAATTTATATTGTATGAACTACAAACATCTCAGTTATATAATCAAGAAACCTACTTTTAACTTTATAAAATCTCATT